CCGGCTTCCCCGCCGCTCCCGCCGCTCCCCTTGCCAAGAGCCAAGGCTTCTGTGACATTTGGACCTGCGCGTTATTTTGCTGGTGCTTGTGGGTAGGCGGGAATGGTAAAAATCCTGCCGAAGGACTATCCAGTTCGTCTGGCAGTTCAGGCACGGTTGGGCGATGGACGCTGACCAGCTGATGCGGTTTGTAGGTTGAACAGCGACCAGTAAATGAGCAGAAGTGAATGGACAGAGGCATGTAAATGTACTGGTGGAGTAGGGTGTGGCCTAGGGAGCGGATCCCAGGTAATTCAAGACGCATTTTAAAAATGTGCAAATTTTAAAAATACGCAAATTGTTTTCCAGGTTAACTGTATCTAATATACTTACAACAGAAACGAACTGAAGTAAGTTCACTGTGTGCCTGGTTGATGAGACTTAAAACAACATGATTGATGGACATCATGGATTACTTTACAGCTGTTCTTGCTTAAATAATTAGGTTTTTCACAGCCTAGAAAAAAGAGGGGGAGGAGAATAATGCTGATTAATTTTACTTCGTTTCATCAGCAAAATTAATTTTTGGTTTCTTGAAAACCATCTCATTTCAACAGCTGAAAGCTGTAAATACCTACCCAAGATTTTTGTTGACAGAAGTTGTTCAATTTGGGCTTTAATAAAACAGGTTAAAAATGTTGAGAGTTGAACTCACCCTGTTTTCTTAAAAAGACAGAGAAATTCATGCCGTAGTTGTATGGCTGCAGGCAAATTGTGAATTTGTCATTCTGCTACGAAAAGTGGTGGAAGTGTTGGAAAATAATGTCAAGAGACACCAACGGCTTATGTGGCCTTGGTTATGGTATTGTTAACAATTTGACACTCTCTGCAGGCCACTCATATTTCATTGTTTTATCCAGTATGTCCAGCATTGTTTAGAGAGACAATTTGTGCTGGGCATTTAGACATTACATTCTCTTTCCTCTTTTTCCTCTTTATTTCCTGTTTTTCCTCATGTTTCTTCCTCTTGGATATCTCCTTATCAGAGGTGTTATGCCTCCTTCTAGTTGATGAGATGAAAAAGCTTTATTTTTCCTGGGCTTTAAAAATCATACTCTATTCACTTTTACGTAGAAACTCCAATTAATCAAGGCTCCTCAAATCATTTCCCTCTCAGAAGATTTGACTGGGCATGTCTTCCCATGTATGCTTATTTAAAACTGTCTGAAATACGGCTGTCCCGTTCCAATGAGCATATTCAGTGTTACTAGCGTTTTTTCTAAGAATCTCTCCTTTCTATGTATGCCATGGTCATATATCAAGGAATATGCATTTATATCTGTAGGAGCTTTTATTATTTGTGCAAATCCATTCCTGATGATTTCCTGCTTTTCCTTGTCTTTTGAATTTCCTATCCTTAGAGTAGCCAAAACAACAATCAGAATAAAATGACGTGGGCTCTGAAAAAGGCATCATTATTTCTCCTTGAAGCGTGGTGTCAGGGCCATAGATCATAAAGGAGAAGCTTGACAAGGCTCAGTTATTACTATCAGAAGATTAATTACAAAACTGCATGGTTGGATATTGAGTACATAATGCCTGCCATGTTATCCTGTATGCAGCTGCTGTACCATGAGTGTGTAATCACTTCCTTGTTTTTTGTACTTGGAAAATGTGTGGGGCTTTTGTTTTGTTCTGACTTTTTTTTTTTTTTAATGATGTAGGGATGCACAGTGTGTATCTTCTAAGGCTTTACTGTCCTCACTTCAGTTGATAAATATTGTGATGTCACTAGAAAAAAAAGCAAACCATCAAGATAACTAATATATTACTTGTTATTCTAAGTGCAACGCTGTTTATTATATGAGAGTAGAATAATGCCACTGAATCACTTGAATTGTATTATATTACTTGAGAAAATAATGGTTAACTACAATATAGATTTGCTGACAGGAAAAAAAAAAGGCATGTATCATGTATCGCTATAGTAATTTATTTTTTACAGACGTATTTTTCTATTATAAGTCTCCTCTACCATTTTCTTAAAGAACTTTTCTAATTTAGTTGAGAACCTGCAGGTTTGCTGTGAGACCAAGCTGGTCTTCTGTCTGTTCAGTCACATGGCAAATGGTGTTGCCAAAGACTGACATTGATACACAGGACTTGAAGACTATAATCTGGTATCAATCCTGAAAGACACTATAGAAATTTGTAAAGGCTTTGATGGATCTGTATCTAGAAAAAACTAATTTTCTGTAGCCAAATGATGTATTTTCCCTCCCCTCTGATTAAATGTCAAGCCTGCCCAACAAATCAATAAGTTCAAAAATGCAATGGGAAAAAATAGTGTGGGTTCCTTCTGTCCCAGATGACTGCATCTTCGGATGTAAAAATTTTGAAGGTATTTCTTTATATTTGTGAGTTTGCATGAAGAAAGGGTCCTGTGCTTATTCTCCTTAAACAGGTAGCTTGTTGGGCAAGTCTGTTTGGATTTTGTTAGCAACTGTCTTAGCAGAGCACTTGTCTAAAAACATATTCAGTTGTTTGTGGGACTGTACTGTGCTAACTTTTATATCTAAATGAAAAGCTTTTGACTCAGCAAAGGAATAGTTATATTATTATAATTGTACGTGTATCATGGTGTTGGAAAAAGTGAGGAAGGAACCTTTAACATAAGCAAAGCATATTATTTATTAAAACTTTGAATGAATACCAAATGTCAGATTTGTCATGGATCCAAATGTGTGTTTGGAATTTACTAATTTAATGAAAGTTAATAACTATGTATTGCCAAAACAATTCCTCCAGTCTAAGTAGCCTTAGTTGTAACATGAAGGGATTATATCTGTTTCTCGCTGTCTGTGATCTGCAAACTCTCAAATGAGGTGCTGTATAGGCATAGAATAACAATACTGTTCTTAATACAGAGTAAGAAGGTGTAGAGAGAGAATATCAGAGGAAATACAGTTACACTAATAAGACTCTTGTAGACCATTTCAAGGATGTTGTGTAAATTCAGGCTTCTAATCTCAGTGTGGCTCGCAAGGTGTCAAGGTAAGAAGAGCACAGGAAATGGGCATAAATGAGAGAAGGGAGGAGGAATGAATTCTTCATCAGTGTGTCTGGAACTGACCACCAAGCGTGATCTGTCTGCCTTAATTTGTCATGGCATGTAGAAGTTGGGTTATGTTTAGATCAAGTCTGTGTAAGAGCAGGGTGATAAATTAAGTAAGTTTATCGTATTTGTACCAATGCAGCTCTGTATTAATAAAGTAGTAAGAGAGGTGCATTAAAGCAATGTTTCTCGGGCAGTGGCTTCATGCTAATGATGATGTTCCCGCCCACAGGTTCAATGAGTCCCCTCACTTCATAACTTGAACTTGGAAGGCTGGGCAATGTTTAGCTCTTGTATACTGCTCCTCTCATAGTGTTTCTGAACATCTTAAAGCTTGTAGAAATTTCAGTATGAAGACTTTTTGTTAATGAAAACAGAATTTTATAAATATTTTTTTGTTGTGCAGTGTTGGTATTACATTATTTTGATTCTTTTGTGTATTCTGTAATGAATATATTAACTAATGTTCTTTTTAAAATCAAATCTTTGGGCTACTTTTTGTCTTTTCTGGCACTGGTTCCTTGAAATGTGTTAGTTCCAAGCTCACAGCCTGGGTAAATAGCATGCATTGCACAAAATGAAATTTAGCTTTTACAGTTCTTCTATTCACAGATTTTAAAGTTTCTTTCCTAAGTTAGTGTCCTGGTTTTGGCTGGGATACAGTTAATTTTCTTCCTAGTAGCAGGCATAGTGCTGTGTTTGGATTTAGTAGGAGAATGTTGATAACACACTGATGTTTTAGTTGTTGCTGAGTACTGCTTATGCTAGTCAAGGGCTTTTCAGCTTCCCATGCTCTGCCAGGTGCACAAGAAACTGGGAGGGGGCACAGCCAGAATAGTTGACCCAAACTGCCCCAAGGGCTATTCCATACCATATGACGTCATGCTCAGTATAGAAACTGGGGGGGGTTGGCCGGGGGGCAGCGATCGCTGCTCGGGAACTGTCTGGGTATTGGTCGGCGGGTGGTGAGCAATTGCACTGTGCATCGCTTGCTTTGTATATTATTATTATTATTGTTATTATCATTATTATTACTGTTATTATTATCATTACTATTTTCCTTTATTTCAATTATTAAACTGTTCTTATCTCAACCCAGGAGTGTTTCTCACTCTTACTCCTCCGACTCTCTCCCCCATCCCACCGGGGCAGAGGGAGTGAGCAAGCGAGCAGCTGCGTGGTGCTGAGTTGCTGGCTGGGGCTAAACCACAACAGTTAGCCAAACTGAGGAACGTCTTTTAGGACCTTTCATTAACTTTTATGGAAACTGTAAGCTAAGCACAAGTGTTGATTGGTCCCCTGCTAGTACAGGCTTTCTTCTTTGTTGGGTATAAGCATCTCAGATGTTTTATCCCATTCTGCTGCTCTCTGTTGGCACCCATGTATCTAATACCATTCTAACCTGGGACAGTGACTGCCTCATCAGCATGAAAACAGTTCAGGAAAACGAGTTGGCCATATGTGGAGGAAGTGGCTTGTGTAAAAGTGCAGATGGAAATAAAAGGATCTTTCATTTGTTGTGATTCAGTTTCTGAAATATGCAGTCTTCTAAAGTTATGACTTGCACCTGAAACCAGGTCCATAATTTCTTTCATAGTAAGGTAATCTAAGCTAGCGAGGAAAGGATCTTAGACAAAAAGCCTCACTCAGAAAAGCTGTAATTGTTTTTAAACAGTGTGTTCAAGAAAGGCCCTTAAGGACTGATTCTGATTTAGCATATTCAGTGAGTGTCTTGAAGTATCATAAATTCTTTAAGTATCGTTAAAGGAATGGATTAATTTCATTTATTAAGATTTCAGTTTTATAGGCTTGAGACCTCCTTACCAGCAGCATAATATCATACCCATTACTGGTTGCATGAATAAACATAACAGTTAAAAAGAGCTGTGTGAATGAATAATGTATGAAGATGCTTTGCACTCATATGTGCTGGAGAGTTTTTCTCTGAACGAGCACAGTGTAAGAAATGAGATGAAAAGGGCTCTGTGTAAATGAAACGCATGGTTGCTACCGAGATGTGGACATATCAATGCTCTCTTTTTGCTGGCTATTAGTGGTACTTAATACCGTAGTGTAGTGAGGTACTATTTGCAGCTTGGAGGAGCTGCTTTTGGTTGAGACTTTTGTTTGAGGTAATAAATTTTCCTTCTTCTTTCCTTCTCTGTACACATGTCCAGTCCTGGGATTTGTTTTTCCGAAATGCTAATGCTGGCCAAGCATATGATCCCCATCTACCAGATCAGTTGGAAAGAAAGGCATCGTTTCTTCAGAGCCATGGCCTGGCCCAGACACCGGGTAAAGCTGAAAAGCTTGTTGAAGATCACCTTGCTGTGCAGTCTTTGATAAGAGCATACCAAGTAAGTGTATTTTGGGGTAGGTGTGGGAGGGCCTCTCCTTTGCAAACAACCTTTTTCTTCCTTTTTATGTTCTTGTTTGTCTTCTGGTCTTAACTCTTGCCTGTTGTCTTGCTTCTGATCCAAAATGTCTTGAACTAGATGGTCTTTCCTTCCCTGGATGGTGTCTCAACCCTGAGGTCCTGGATTCAGACTTGGGATGCTCCTCTGGCTTAGCAAACTCAGGATTCAAGTTACCCACAGCCCTGATGCTGGTCATCTGACTTAACCTGGAAGCTCTTTATGGAGATAGTCATTTGTGAAGGGGAACATGAATCTATTGTTTTTTGCCTGTTTACCAGGAGCAGGAGCCAAACATGTCAAAGCTTAGCCTTTAACTATTCTTTTGGCTCACTTGACTGTATTAAGATTTTGTGTGTGTGTGTGTGTCAGATTCAGTAAGTTACTTGGCCAAATTAGAAAACTTAAGTTATCTGAAATAGTTTTGCTTCATATGAAGGGAGTCATCCTGGATATACTGGTACTAATGAATCTCTCCTGATGTGTGTGGTGAAATAAGAACTTTTCCCTCCCTTCAACAGCAAACTTTTCCATGATCCAAATCTGTCTTTACGTCTGGGAAAGTTTATGTTACAGTTCTAAATGTTACTACCTTTCTTTAAGAAAGGAGGAAATGTGCTTGCCTTCCCATACATTTAGTGTGAATTTTGAGATTCCTGATATGAGCAGGATTATAGGTAAAAAGAGAGAGGAGAAATAATAAGTTAACCAGAAGTTGAATTTTAGGAGGCTGACAGTACTGAGTTTGGGTCAGCTTTGATAAATTTCTTTTAGAGAGCTGTTCATCAAAGTTGACTTCGTTTCACGCTCAGATTTTTTTTAACCCTTTTATTAAATTAAGAAATTAAGTCTAATTTCCTTTTTCCTGTAAAAGAAGGAGGATTTTGGAAATAGCAAAGTGGGTTGGGTTAGATGTTCTCTAAATGTAAAACAAGTTTAAACATTTTTATTTAGACTTGTGTTTAATATCTTAATTTCAATAAAAGGCTTAAAACCAGCGTGAAACAACAACAAACCCCTCCCCCGCTAAACATGTAGATCTATGTTGAGCACAATATTCCAGTTTGATTTTTAAATTGTTTTTTTCTTTTTTTAAATAAGTAGGTAACTTCCCAAGAAGTTTGCTACAGTTTGACTTGAGCAGATCTGTTCTGCCCTCCACTAAGAATTTTATCTCCTGTTTGCTATCATCAGAAGAATAGAAGAGGAACTCTCTTACAAACTTTTTTTTGTTTGATCACATTGGCACCGTTGATTCAGATATGATCCATGTTAATCCAGCTGTTGGAGAGGTGTTGTAAAAGAGTAGAAAGGTTTGTGAATATAAAGAATGTATGAAATTTGCTTAGAAATAGCTATGTAGAAAACAACCACCTCAGCCCATTCACTTTTCCTTGCAGTAAAAATTTGTTGAAGAATTAGAGAAAATTGGAGAATGTTAGCCTGCTTTGACACTATTTACTTGAAAATAGTTCAGGGATTGCCATTTTGTTTCCTGTATTTGAAAGAG